TTGAGAGATGTATCCATAGATCTCTTCATTCTGCTCTCAAAGTGCACCAGATTGATGCATTTAACTTCAATATTTAAAAATAAATCTTCCCGGGGGAGCATGCCCCCGGACCCCCCTATGTGAGGTCCACACACCACCTATAAAAATAGCACTTTACCCCTGCTTACACCTATATTCCGTGAGCTGATTATCGAGCCTTCATTGTAACAGTCGCAGGTACACTGTGTATATGCGTGGGGATTGTTGCAGTAAAAAAATTCAACTGTAGTGACCAGTACATGGGAAACTCTAAATGTTTGAGCACCCTCTATGAAACGTCAAGCTACCCCACAGCACCCCCAAAATAAATCTCTGGCGCCGCCACTGAGCCTGACTATTTTTGTTGGGGGGGCCCGAATTTTCTCCAAAGGGGGGGCCTGGCAGAAAAGGTTTGAGAACCACTGTGCTAAAGTAAAGTGATTGAAAGCATATGAAGCATATTAAGAAGGTCCTAGAATATAACCAAAAACATGTGAGAAGTTGTGTAGTGAAACAGAAACTGGGTCCTTCCCTCTCTCTCTACATGCCTTATTGAGGTCATGTTTAGATACAAGCTTACATAAAGCTTATCATATGTCCTGGGCTCTTTGTCTGCACTCTATGCAAGGCCTTTTACTGCCAGTACGGTGTGTCAACATCTTCTGTGTTATCATACTAGATGTTGGAAAATCTAAATGTCCCATCGATACAAATTCTCCTGTTTCATTGTACCTGCTGCACAAAGACTTACTCTCTGTGAGTCTTTGTTACATTCTCAATCTCAATCCATCACAGCACAAATAAAATCCATGAAAAGGGTTTGACTGTATATGTTGAGGGTGTGTACATTCTAGTTTTCAGTGGTTTGGTGTCACTGCAAGAGATTCCACTTCAAATAACCAAGCCAAATGGCTGAAACAGCGCGTCAGAGACTTGTTTCAAAACGCTTGGGTGCATTCAAAGTATATGTGATCTATAGAGCACAGGAAATAAATACAGGAAATGAGCATGAAACGCTAAGTCTAATGGTTGAGGTGTCAGAAGTCTTTGGCATCGGACTAGGCATTTAGGAAAAATGAAAGACAAACTGCAGTCTTGACAGATTTCTGTTTCTGCATTTCAGGCTGGTATGGGCACTTGAGGACTTGTCAATTACTGAACAATATGCATCATTCATTTGAATTTCCTCAATTGCAAAGTCAAGCTGGTTCCAAAATGATGCACAATACCTTCAATGTGTAGTTTAATGCGTTGGATTTTTCCTGGAAATAAACATTGTTTGGAATTTTCAACGTTGAATTTTCATTTAACATGGGACACAAACGGTGGCCTCTTAGGTGCCCTGAGTTTGTTTCTTCACGCCAAAATGTGATGGTTGGGGCCAATGCCCAAGCTGCCATAATCGATGAGTTGGGAGAGAGAATGTCCTGTTTCGGTTTCAATCATTCATTTTTATCTTATGCCATTCTCAGGTAGCTCATGAACATAAAACAATGGGCCCATTTTTTTCACTGAAACAAACCCAAAACAAATGATTTATTGTTGTATTGTCGGACATTTTGATTATAAAGCATCCCATTGTAATGCTCTCTTCATCTCTCTTTCTTTCTCTCTTGCAGATGTTCAGCAGTGCAGAGCAAACTCCAGGGTGGTGAATCTCTACAAAGTTATTCCTGTGTTTAAGTGCGAGCATCCCAGAGGTGTCTGTGTGTCATCAGACACACAGACACACACAAACACACACACACTGATGCTCAGCCCCTCCTTTTTACAGTAGACCTGGCAGACCTCTAACTTCTGAAAGATTGATGAGGTCCTGTCCAGGCAGAGCCCTGGCACAGCGTTGATAAGGCAGCTTTAATTTCACCACATTTTATCCCTCGGCCATTCCTTTATTATCCTCTCTTCCTCCATGCTGGGCAATCCGGGGGCTGGCTTTGAAGGGTGAGAAAGGAGTATGGCACGTCAAGGCCACTGGGCGAGGAGGACATTGCTTTAAGAAACAGGAACAATGAAATGCCTCGTAAATGATAGTTATTTTTTCCTCATGTGGGACAGCCGTGTGGTAACCAAGCATGAGCCTAGTGTTGGCATGTCACTGTCAAACTGTTGGAGCTGGATAGTTAAACTACAGAGGGACACTCAGAGCTGAGAGTTGCTTCACGCAAACACACACACACACACACACACACACACACACACACACACACACACACACACACACACACACACACACACACACACACACACCAAACAAACATAGTTGTTCCACACAGGACAATGTGCAACATCTCGTTCTGTAATGTGGACAGTAAGGTGGACCAGTTCTTCCAGCCCACGCTCTACATCATCGTCATCGTTCTGGGGCTGCCCACCAACTGCATGGCCCTGTGGGCTGCCTATATGCAGGTGAGGACACATACGTGCATGCACACACATACACAAACATACACCAGCCACTGGTTCTGATAGCAATTCTGAATTGACAAACCTTTAGCCAAAGCATTGAGAGGGTCGCTGTCACAGAGAGCCACTGTGATCACCCTCTGTATAATCTGTGCTACACAGGGCATATACTCATATGGCAGTATTCTTGCTGCGAGCACTATGTGTCCCTGCAGTGATGACCCTGTCCACTATCTCAGATTCCTGTGAAACTCCTAGAAATTGGCTTTAGTAAAATACATTTCCTTCGTCCTCACCAAACCTAAACAACAAGTGCAGTACATTTGTCATTTTGTGCCTTAACGCGGAGGTAGAGATGGTTCTTACTGATGTCTAGAGGTCTCGAGTCACCTCCTTTGCCTTTTCACTTCAATGCAACCCATGGTAAAAATGTGCGTTGGAATAACGTGAGGAATTTGAGAGAAAAGACCCTTATACTATAATTTGCGAAAATATTTTTTAGACATGAAATGGTTTCCAGATTAATCATGTGCGTTAATGCATTAATGTTGACAACCTTAAAATGTCCCTTGTTTGCTTTGAGTTTAATTAATCTTTGAACACATTTTACATATTTTCAAAGTTTCGGCAATGTAAACTAATTTCAAAGGCATTTAGAATTATAGCTGAACTTTAGTTCGGTTTAGATTTTATTTAGAAAACCCCAAAACAGGAACGTAATAAACGTATAACAATTATGTATCTCAATATTGTTATTAGGTTTGTGTAACATGACCCCTTGGAGTAGACATCATGTTCACACTCTTACACAAAATACATTGTTTAGGTTGCTCGTCTGCTTGCCTCTCTTATCTACTAATCTCCTGACAGTCTGACTATCACTGAGTCATTTTTAACTACATATTCTGCTCAGTGCTCTGAATCCTGAAGTCTAGAAATGTTTGAAAATCTGAAGAAGCTACTCCGTCCCCTGTATGTGCCTGACAGTCTTATTACCTACAGTCATCAGAGGACTGGGGATATTTTCCCATAAGGCTTAAACATTTCCAGTGTTTCCCACAGACTTGTCAGTTTACTTTGGCAGCAGCAAACAGAATTGTTATTGACTTTTCATTCAAGCAACTTCTCCAGCTCACAAAGGAGTGACATTTCAACGCAGCGCTCTGCTTCAGGCGCGTTCACACCAAGTACTTTTTTTCATCTCAGCATCAAGGTCGTTTCTCAAACGTTTAAACTCCAACTTTTTACATTCAGTTTGAGCCTTGGCCACAACATGGCATGATTTACCAGGTGTGCTGTGTGATAGGTGCATCATGGGTATACTGAAAACACCATTCAGTTCTCTGCAGCAATAACTGCATTGATAAGATCATAGGCTTTATATAAAAGCACACATAACTGTGGCAGTCAACTATTGGCAGTTTTAAAGCATTCAGTGTTTGCCATATTGTTTTTTTAATGCAACCGAACATGCCAGGACATTTTTAGTTGCAGGTGACTTTCACAAACTGTAATAAACACATTGCTAAATGGTTAAAGTTGCAAGACGAAAACACGGAAAACTCAGACCTGTCAATCACAGGGCAGCCCCGCACTAAATGCAGACGCTGCTTCATCCGGTATTTTCCTCTAAGTGTGAATTATTATTATTTACAAAATGTACATCATGTCTATTGAACAAAACTTGAAACTAGGAATGTATATAATTAACTAATCAATAAAATGTGTACTCATGTAAGGAATGAAGTGAAAAGTAAGGTCATTTTCTCATAGACTTCTAACAACAAGACTTATTTTTGCAAACAGTCGACACCCCCCCCTGGTCATTACAATTATTGCAAGTTTATGACATTTCTACTTTGGCTTTTCTTTTCAGACTCTTAGGTTGCGGCCTGGCTTATAGCCACCAACGTCATTATTGAAGAAAGCATTAACATAATTGGCGCGCTGTTTATTTACCAGGGCAGTTCTGCCTAAATATTAACATTGCAATATCAATACTGCATGGAAAACAGAGTTATCTCACAGTGGCTTGATTCCAATCCAAGTACGGATAAATCTAATTAGGAAACGTAATAGATGCCATAAAGTGGACAAGTTGATCTGCTGCCGCTGAAATATCTGTTCACATTTCTTTCTCTGATTTACTGTTCAAGCCCTCGCTGTAGTTGTACGTCCCTAATGCACAGTTTATATCAAGTGCTCTTCAACAATAATAGATTCAGCCATATCAGTTCTTTGAAGACTGTATTTTTTATTATATTTTGATATTCAGGAAGTCAAATGGTTTGCAGATGATTACAATACACTCATCATTTGCATTTTATTTAGTTTTGCAAAAATGGAAACATGTGCACTGCTTGCCTCAAAATCTTCTCAGAACAGAAGTTGAACAAAACACTCTTGACCCTCTCTATCATTGCACATGATTTTATCCATAAACTTGAAATCTTCATCCCTTTCCCATCTCATCTTCTTCACATTCCTCCATCCAGGTAAAGCAACGCAATGAGCTTGGCATCTACCTGATCAACCTGTCAGTGGCTGACCTCCTCTATATCATCACTCTTCCTCTGTGGATCGACTACTTCCTGCAGCACGATGACTGGATCCACGGTCAGGAGAGCTGCAAATTGTTCGGCTTCATCTTCTACACTAACATCTACGTCAGCATCGCCTTCCTCTGCTGTATCTCACTGGACAGATACCTGGCTGTGGCATATCCTCTGCGCTTTGCAAAGGTCCGACAAATCAAAACAGGTATGTTGGGTTTTCTCCTTAAATATTAAAGCCATCCTAAAACAAATGCTGATAGATACATCTGAAATAAAATAATTATTGGTAGAGAGGCAACTAACTTTTCAATAACACAAAAGTCAGTACAATTTCATTTTCTGTTTTGGAAGGATAAAGATAGGTCATGTGACCATTAGTTCCCGAAACTTTGCAGCCGCTGAGCCCTGAGAGGATGTGCGTCTTCAAACTTGACATTCCTTGACATAACAGGAAATTCAAGTTTGTGTAGAGATAAGATCACTTCCATTGCAAAATAAGTTTTATAAATAACTATTTGAACAAGAATGTCTATTAAAGTAATTACTTTTATTAAAACTTAATGATGCGTAGCTTAAGCCAAGAACATGGTCATGGCCCCTCTCTAACTTTTCTAGAAACAAAAAATTATTTTATTTAGAGAAGTGTTTCTCAAACCTTTTCATACCAAGGACCACTTAACCAATAAAAAAACTCGCGGACCACCTAATTCCACAAATATCCAAAGACACATCGTTTTTCTAGAACAGATTACAAATCGCCTGGATATGGTGCAAACAAGTGCAATTAAATCATGAAACTTAAGCTCCCTCCATTGCGGAGATATACCCGCGAGAGTGCAGAAAACTTAAATTTATTTATTTATTTCAAATGTGACATTTTACCAATATACTCACGGACCACTAGGGGGTGCTCATGGACCACCAGTGGTCCGTGGACCACACTTTAAAGTCCCGGCAACACGAGGACGATAACGGTCTTATCTGCTACAGTTCGCTATCAGATAGACGGTACGGCCACACGAGGCCGACATGGAAACGCAGAAAACGATAACGATAACGTGGGTAGATCTGCAAACGAAACGCTCTGGTGGGGAAACGGTTCCGTGTTTACGCCTATACGATAATTTCCTGATGACGTTGAAGCAATAGCCCCGCCTCTCCCCACCTCTCCTGCTCAGAGATCAGCTGCTGGGCTGTCAGAAGAGGGGGAGGAAAAGAGAGGCTCCGTTTTTTATTCTTATATTATTATATAGAGTCGTTATTCATTTGTTTTAAAGCTCAATAAATAACAAAGAAGACCTCTGACCGGCACTTTTCTAATTTTGTCCGGAAGATTTAAACTTTAACGGACATGTTGACCGGCGAAAAAAAATCTAACTGAAACTCTGCTGTACAGTCCCCTCGTCCCTAAGAGGCGAAGAGGTGGGTGTTTGTCATCTGCTGGTGGACTACCGGAGAGATTTACAGCAGGAGCAAACGCTTGCCTCGGGGAGGGAGAAAAAGAGCCAGAGCGTCCACAGCGGGGAATAAACTGAAGGGCAACCATGCGCGGGAAGTCTTCTTCGCTGCTTTTGTGGCAGGACTACAGCGCCACTTATAGGCCCGGCATATGTACTACAGCGTCTCCAGCGCTTTTGAGCGGTCTCGTGTGAACGGACACGTTTCTGGTGCATATTGCGTGTGGACGGAATACTTTTTTGATATTGATTTCGGTCCGTTTGCGTTATCGTCCTCGTGTGGCTCCAGCCTGAGAAGCACTGATTTAGAGGATATGTTAGATCCCAATTGGAAATGCATTTTGGATGAAAACTCTTCATGTGGGTGAAAGTGAGGCAGTAAAATACAATTTTATAATATAACTATATTCTCATTGATGACAATATTATCGAAAACAGACAAAATGAAGGCCTACTGTTTGGTGAAATTAATGATTACTAAGGTTGGTACTTGGTGTACAATTATCCGTCGCAGATTGAAAAGACGTAGATTCTCTATTAGCTGTGTTTGTGTGTCTTTTTTCCTCCAATACAGTCCAATATTTACACAGAGGTTTCTGAAAAGTTGATTATTTATCACTCCTCTTCTTTCCTTCCTTTTCCCAACCTCCCACAGCGGTCCTGGTCAGCGCCATGGTGTGGATTATTGAGATCGTAGCAAACTCTGCTCCCCTCTTCCACGATGAGCTCTTCCAGGACCGGTTCAACCACACGTTCTGCTTTGAGAAGTATCCCATGCAGGACTGGGTGGCAGGGATGAACCTCTACAGGACATTTCTGGGCTTCCTCGCTCCATGGACAGCCATGCTTGTGGCCTACCGTGGGATTTTAGCAGCAGTGCGCTGCAACGTCTCAACAGAGCGTCAGGAAAAGGCCAAAATTCAGCGTCTGGCTTTGAGTCTGATACTGATTGTTTTGCTCTGCTTTGGACCATATCACATCCTGCTCCTGGTGCGGAGTGTGATGTTTCTAAATAAGCCATGTGACTGCGGTGCAGAGGAGAGCCTGTTTGCAGCCTACCATGTGTCGTTGGCACTGACCAGCCTCAACTGCGTCGCCGATCCCATTTTGTACTGTTTTGTCAACGAGGGGGCCCGGCACGATGTGGCCCGAGCGCTCTCAGCTTTACTTTCTGCAGCTTGCTTTAAGGGCTCCTCTTCCTCACCATCGCACAGGGAGATACTCAACGCCGGTTCAGTGACTATGGAAACGCCACTGGCAGCAAAGAAGCAGCCTTATGTATACGCTGATGGAGCAAAGACCAGCAGCTACAAGACAGAACTGGTGGCTCTGAAGGAGGAGTGTCTACAGATGACTATCCTCAGTGTTAGGAAGACTTAAACCTGAAGCATGCTGTCAGAGGTCCAAACTCTGTATCTCAGTGGATGGAGAAAGCCCTGAGAGGGTCCAATGTCTTCTGGCATGAGATGAGAAGCATTTTCTGAGGCTGTGTGTGATTTGCCTCAACATTTCCATTAAATGGCATTGACAAGCCAGAAGTGTAATGAGATTCCTGAAATAAACAAGACATATTGTCTCTTGTCACGGCAGCAGCCTGTGCTAGATTGAAATGCTCACGCATCTGAAAGCAATGTTGTTTTAGTTTAGTCTTAGGTTGGCACTTGGACATGGTCATGATGTGAATCCAAAAATTACACATTCCATTTCCAAGTTCCAATTCCAATTCCAATTAAAGTTTCCACATTTCAAACATGACTATCTTTTGTGCCCCAACATTTTTCGCACTTCTGACATTGACAGCTTGTCAGGCTCAGTTCTTTATTGGTGATTTGGTTAACGGTTCATGCTAATGTTAGCATGTTAGCATGCTGTATCATCATCAATCCCAGAGTGCAACTGAGGCTGACAAGGAGTCAGTCATAAGCTTTAAAGGATATTCTGAAGTAGTGTTTGACCGGAGTTTAAGTCACCTTCTGGTGGCGCTAAATGAAAAGTCAGGGGATCACATAAGTCCTCAGGATTTAGACCAAAAATGTCTGTACCAAATCCATCCAGTAGATGTAGATATTTCAGTGTGGAGCAAAGTATTGTACCAACAGATCAACAGAACAGCTGGGCCAGCAGTTATTTACAATGCCATAGATGTGCTTGAATATTTAAGTGGAACTATTCAAAAAGACCACATTCTGCATGTATGAGTATCTTTAGTGGGCTGAGAAGAGACACCTTCGAAGTGAGACTGCATGGACAACCAACCTTGACAAAGGGGCAAATTAAGAAGATTGGGGCCTGACACCCTGATGCACCACTGTGGAATATGTAAAAAGAACAGAAAGTAATAGAAAAAGATTGTATATTACTGTTCGATAAATCGTTTTTAATGCTTGTTGGAAATGTCTTAACCGTTTTGAAGAAATATTGAAGCCTATAAAGTACCTCAGCTTGTTAACTGTGACAGCAAAAAGGCTTAGTGTAGATGTGTCTCTAATGTCATGTGAGCAATGTTTTTTTCAAAAACATTTACCATAGGCAGCAAAAATATTCACACTGAAAAAAAGTCAAAAACCAAAGCCTGCATTCAGCTCAATTTGAAAGTCAAATGTATCAGTTTTTTAAACTCCATTACGTTGAAAGCACTGAAGCGCAGAAAATAACCTCTTCCAACCTCCGAGACAGCAGCCACAGTTCACCGGATATCGTTTACATTCCCATGTTCAGAAAGATTAGTTCCCAAACTTCCTAAATATGCTTTTGTACACATTTCTTTTTAAGCTATTTTTTCATCACATAAATTAAACTAATTAAATAAAAAGTTTCAGATCTTCAGTTTTTGTGTATTCTTTCTGGATTGAAGCTACAATCCTGGCTACTGGGAGTCTGCCTTTTTGGAAAATACATTGACATGTCAAAAGTGTACTGTGCAAAGTAAGACGTACTTTTGTTGATATCCATATAAAACTAACCCTAACCCTAACTGTATTTCCAGTGGTAAGAACTGTGGCAGCAGTCTACATGGTAGTATTTTATTTAACACTAGTTTTATTTATTTTTTACTGCAAGTATGCCTTTCCTTTTGTAAGTGAAGCTGTATTAGCTGCCATACATTTAATGTACTATCTGATTCACTTGATTTTGAGTAAGAACTAGAGCCTGGAAAAAAGGGATCTTAAAATATTTTCCTGTGATGCATGTATTTCCAGGATTTCCAACCTGATCTCACCAGAATGCGTGAGTCCACCACGACTCCTTAACACCGCATTGCGTGGTGGAGTCAAGAACTTTGCTACATTTACGTGTCTGCACCACGCAAACAACCCCAATGTAAAGTGAATGAGGCTCCTTTGTCGAGGTGCACACACGCATTTCTACAACGTCCAGCAGTGAGCTTTTATACTATAAAACGTTTTTAAAATCTACTTTATAGCTTGTAGTAACTCACGGGAAGCTTCTTTTATTTTATTTGTATTCATAATAATTTGTATTTTTCGTCAGAATGTATTATGGCAACCCTGTCTCCTAAAAATTACGTTTCCACAGAACTAAACTGCATTCTCAATTACGTTTAGCTAGAAACGTATTTTCTCCCACGTGTACCGGGAAGTTTGGAAACATAAAAAGTTTTCGCGGAAACAAAGAAATTGTCCCCTAGGACCTCTGGTCGACGGGGTCATTTCCATGAATCCCTGTGGCCTCCAAGCAGTGCAGTATAATAAATCCCCCCTCTTCCAGAATGGAACCATTGGAAGGTCCTACGTAGTATCCACCTAGTTCACGGACCCAACAAGTTCCCCATCCCGGCTACGCTGTGAACGAAACCGGCGCGAAGTAACGTGTCTCGACGCAAAATAATAAGTGAGTAGAGACAGTAATTCTAAGAATTCAATGGACGAGAGGGCCGACAACCGGGTAGTTCCCCAACGTAAAAGTAGGAGTCATTTACTGGAACGCCCGACCCCCCCCGGTTCCCCGGATTACGGGAATGGACTCCAGTAACTACAGAGGGACCGTAGATTCAACATCGCGCGGGTCCTTAAGTCCCCGACCCTTCGATGGAGGGTTCTAGAAAAGGACGAACCCACACCAATGTTCCCCGGGTCGGTATGGACCTGTTTATTACTCCTCCGCTGAACCCCCCAGACTTAACAAAAAGCACCATGCCCCGTCCAAAGAAATTTTCTGTACCTGACGCGAAACCTGGCCTGTCGTGAAACTCCACACTAGAAACCGAGGTCACATTTTGGATAATCCATATGTGACTAGTGTTAGGGGACCAAAAGAACGTTCCTACATGTTGGTGTTAGTATGCGCGAATACGGGGCAACCAGTAACTACCAGGTCTTGATGTTTGGGAACTGTATCCGGTATTTTTCCCCGGCTATTACAAGAACGGCTACGGTGATAGAGCGACCGGATACATCCGATTATCTTTTACAATAACCAGCCCCAGGTTTGTAATGACAAACGCTAAATATACGACCAACCCCCACAATGCACGGTCCGTCCGGACATGAACACACCAAAAAGAAAGGGAGGACACCAAAGAGAGAAGAGGGGACAGAAGACGTGTTTCGATTAGTCGTGACGCTAGCCTTAGACGGACACGTTGGACTTAGACCCTACCCGAACTCAACCTAGGAGAGTGGGAGTCGACCGATAGTCCGTCGGTCCCCGGCTGGAATTTCCTCCGCGTGAGTCCTTGCAGAAGAGAGAGCAGTGAAGACCCCGAACAACGGACTACTTCCTCGGACGTTACAAATCAGTTGAAGAAGGAGAAACATAAACAGACTGGAAAACCTTTCACCACACACAACTCCTCCGACCTCCTCAAATCAAACATGGGACATAAAGAGGGGTGCACCGATGATTACAAAATCTGTGATCCAATCGCCTAACCAACGGTGGGCGGACATATAACAAAACAGTTTAAGAAACATCAAAATCAAATCACTCCCAAAAAAACAAACTCAAAACCAAGTTTCCCATCTACATCTCTATCCGGACCAAAACAACTACGAACAAAGAAAAACAAACCGTGTTAGGAAACATGAGAGAAGGAGGAGGAGGAGTGTTGTTGTCTCACACAAGTTAATATCATAGACGCAAGCCCAAGAACCGATTTTATTTGGGAAAACAGTTGACATGCGACTGAGGGAGTAAACAATAACCAACATACAATAACAGCAGGTCCAAGGGATCTGAACATCACCCCTGCATTGTGAGAACCCTAAAACAAAATTACGAAACTCCAACGTTATTTGTTGTGTCGTCGACAAAACCGTAGCAATTTTGGTAATAAAAGACGGAGCCGAGTACTCTAATTGTCGACCGGCTTTAATGTCGGGAGAGGATGACTAAAGTTTTTACCCACACGAGATTTTTACTTATAACATATTTACCTGATAGTAATAATATTCGTCTGTTATTTAACGGTTTCTATACAATCTTTTATTTCGCATAACATTCTATGCAAGTATCTT